ATGCATTTTATCAAAATCAACTTACAATGCTGATAAAACATTACATTCAGTTAGTTACATAAAACCAAAATTTCCTTTTTTGAGCACATTAATTTATTATTTTCTAAACTCTCCTCCCAATCTTAACTGTATGGATAATAAATAATAATAGTTTTTCATTTTCTCTGACTATGTGATGTATTCACTTATACACCTTTGTTTCTATACAGCCATAGAGGATTTTAAAGAAGCGTAAAATATTCCCCTCCAAAAGGACAATTATGAATTCCAAAACAACCTACAATCTTTCATTAGGAATTGAACCTGTAGTTGCATACAGTGCAGCCTGAAATGGCACCCGTTGCCGGTTTTAAGCCCGGCTACATGTCTGGAAAACATCAAACATAAAACTCGTGCTAAAGTCCTAATGCCAACAAACGTGGGCCTGCTGTGATGACTTCTAATGGGAAGAGATGAAAGACATAAAACGTGGTCATTTAAGTCAGTGATTTCCCAGGAAACCCTCCAGTAGCCGACCCAAACGGTGTTGGCCATGGATGTTGGTTTGGAAACCCCAAACAGAGACATTACGAGCCTCGAAACACACCTGTACTCATGTTCTCCCTGTAAGACTTCCCTGATGTCACACTGCACTTCACTCAGAGATCTTAAAATCGACTCACCAGCGCCCCCAACCATCAGGATGCAACGAGAACTTGTGTGTTTTCAGCACTCAGCTGGAGACTTTTAAGGCCTGTACTGATGCATGCGTGTATATGTGGAGCGCATCACAGAAACCACGTTGAAGCCAACTTAAGCAGAGTGAACTTCTTGTCTAACCAGAAAGCACGGGCCAAACGTCGTATTGGGGGACCTGGTCAACAAAAAAGAAACAAACTTTGTTATGGAGAATGTGTCATTTTAAATGATCATATTTTCAGGGCCATAGATAAAATAAACATTTTCAAATGGCAACAGAACCTCAAAGACTAACCTGCCGGCTAGAGAATTTGGGACATTTGGGACTTCCCTGCAACGCCACCATCAGGTCAAACTTTGACTTTTACACTTAGTGTGTTTGGTGTCCTCATTCATGGCTCCCACAGAATGACCCATCCTGATTCAACCTGGTCACCAGCCCTCTCCTCTCATGAAGACATTTACTTTGAAGTGGTGGCTGCAAATGTTGCCCCTCCAGTCTGAGCATCCCAAACACACTCAGTGGTGTTGTTCTGCAGTAGTTCATCTAAACACACATGGATTCATGTCCATAGTGATGAAAACGGCTGAGAAGAAAGCTGCTTCTCCTCTCCCAGTGTGTCCCCCCTACCCCTGCAGGTGTGGGGATGAGAGGTCAAAGGTCACGCTCAGACAGAAAAGTTTCACACAGCTGAGACAGCTCAGTTGTGCATTCAAATTAGGAAAGGTACGAAAACAGGAGGTAAACACAACAAGTTGTCTTCAAATAGTTTAAATATTAAAACTGATTAAATTACTTCAAAGGATAATTGGTGGGTCAAGAATCAAAGTAGAAATGTGAAAGCGATATCAAGTGGTGAAGAGTGGCAGGAAAATCAGGAAGATATAATTTTGCTGTCAAAGAGAGAAATATTGGACATTGATGCTGACCTGAGAATTAAAAAAGGAGGTGCTAGAGGTACAGAAGAGCGTCATAGTATGAGCTATATAAACATGTTTGT